ACGAGCTAATGATACTCAGAAAATAGGAGAATGAAGAGTGTTGCCACCAACTGATTGCATTTACATATCCGAGTTGAAGAACACCATCACAGTGACGTTCTATCATGAAATAACAACTGCATAAAATACTAATTTTTCGACCCCGTTCATTCCCACTTGACACCTCCAAATTACCCAAAATGGGCAATTTCACCCCCGTGAGAACCACTGACTTAGAGCAACTGTAAGGAGACAAAATGTTGAGTGAGTAAATTCCTGGCTCCAGCGATTCTATTTTCGAACGAGAGCTTTGTACTGTCAAAGTTACAATGTTTGATAGCGAGTTTACGGGATTTTATCGGATTTGTTTAATGCTTGAGGAAGATTCGAAAAATTCTTCCATTGTGAGATCAACCTAACGGTGAGTGTTTTTGTAGGCTGTACAAAGATCAGTAAGAAATCTTTGCCGTTCTAAAGTTTCTAATTCTAATACTGACAGTATCTCCTTGTAATCGGACCGGTGATTTGAGCGAATCTTTGCATCCACATTCATTCTCTTGCTATGCACTGCATCTATTTGGCATGGGAAATGTAGTGCTTCGTTTTTCCAGCAATCCGTTTACTTATAAACCTTCCAAATCAATCATTACTTCTTGCTTAGGTCCATGTTGCCATCATTCACCCTCTTTAGGAAAACGTCTTCAGAGACTACAAGAATTTATAAGACTACACTGCAGCAAGCATCATCAAATGACAACTTCCCAGGCTGCTTATCAAACGACCATGAAAGCGAACTGAGATGAATGACAGCTGACGAAGAAACGTTCGACGACTAAAGATATCAGACGACAGCTGAAAAGGAGAATATGTGCTTGTTGATGTGTTGTCATCTCGTCCATTCGAATAATATTCTGCATATCTGTTTAATCTACTACTATTACTACTATTTCCACTGTATTCACTACACCATCACTATTATCTGTTATAATTCTTGTTATTTTTTATTAACTTTATCATTTCTTCTAAGGTATTAACAACTTATGTCAGTGTTCGTGTAGTTTTTTTTTTAAAATTCTGCTTGTTGTTCAGTTTTCTTCTTGAGTGTTGAGTAATTTCAGTGAATTCTTTTCAGAGAAACATAAAAATAATTCGATAATGCGAATAAATGAGTTAGAAATTTGCATATGAATGTGCTGCCACAGCGGCTGCTATCATTATTTTCGTTATCATTGTCACCGTTATCATCATTATCATTAACATTCTGTTCATCAGCAGCAAAACAGTGGTTAATTATTTCCTTCACTGATAAAATTTATCATCCTCAATGATAAAAATCATGATGGTTGAAGAAGAAAATAATGCAACAAGAACAGAAACAACGTCTGGGACGGTAGCAACCTCATGTGCGAGTGATAACGTCTCGTTGAATGATTACTCACCTTCACAGACTGATGTAATATTATTTTTCAGCTCTTTATTTTATTCAGTTATGTATTCTCGTCGTTCTCTTGTTTTTATTCGATACCACTTTTACTTCTTAGTTGATAATGAATTCATAAATTGTTTTATCTTTAACAAGATTGGCCTTTTTCCGCGAATTTGGTTTTTTATTGCATTGCTATATTGTTTAGTGTTGTTATTCTTAAGGAGTCTTGTGGAGGTGATAAAGATGGTGAAAGTCTGTCAAAAATTTCAACTCTTTATGAGAAATACAATATTCAATGCGCCGAAATTGAAAGGTACATTCAAAAATGAATTATAGTTGATATGAATGAACAAGTATTGTTTAGAATCTTCCCCATTCACCTTGGCAGTGTGAATTTTCAGATTGGAGAAACAGAACAGTAATTATAGAGAGCAACTGTTGAAAACAATACGTGAACGTGAAACAGCCGAAGATGCACTGCGTAACTATAAGAAGTAAGCAGTAAATAAATTTATGAATAATTATGAATAGTCTCGGTAAATGAACCAAAAATAAATTCATTGCCATCAATATCGTCCAACAGTGCCACCTTGTTGGATGTTTACAGCCCAACCGCACTGTATGAATTCACTAGGCGCAAATGAGATGAAACGAGATCTTTTGTTAATGATTATTTTTTCTTTTCGATACCGATCACTTTCAATCATCACTTGTTTGATAGTTAATCATTTCCTCCACTCTATAGACAGATCAAAATCGTCTTGCTCCTTGTTTTTTTTTGTTTGATCATATAGAATGAATCATTAAAAAAAAGTAATAGATCCATTTGCTCCTGAGTACGAGCACTGAGGAAATGAAAAAAAAGCAATGAAGCGATTTACCAAGGAAAATGAATGAGACAGAATCATCAACTAAACACATAACAAGGATGAACAATGAAAGGAAAAATGCAATGTTGATAATAATGAAGAAGATAAATAAAAACAATTTAAGTGAGAAGTCGTCGAAGTTTGATGAATTGGAGCGAAAGTTACTGGAGCATGAATATCAGTTGAAAGCAAGCAAAGATCGAGGTGCGGCTCAAGAAGCACATCATGCAAAAAATCTTGCTGAAACAACTGCCAAATTCAATAGTCAAATTGCTAACGTAAGTGCGGTTTGTTTTTAGGTTGCTGACAATTGTAAGTTATATTGAGGTAAAATGAAATTTGCGCTTTCAACATAAAGGTATGCGAAAGGAAGTTACTCAGTATCGTACATAATCAGTCAATCAAACAATCAAAAATGAATCAGAAATCAAAACAATTATTTAAAAAATGAATCAAAAATTAAAAAAAAATCAAAAGTTAACAATGAATCAGAAAATTATAATTTTTCAGCTTTTAAAGAAGTGTGAAACTGCAGAAAAAGAAAAAAATGATGCGGTGGTACGTTATGCAACAAGAGAAACGGAAGTGATGCATTTGAAGTCGGAATTGGAAAAGATCGAAATAGAAGTATGTTTGTATGTATGCAAGTACGATGATAATGAGGATAATTTGTAAAATTAGAAAACGTTTTTCGTATCATTTTATATCCAGTAGTTCTCGACATTTTCGGTTAGTCGCCCACTTGGCCCAAGATCGTGCCTGATTACCCTCCTTTCTTTATAAATGCACATTTCCAAAATAGAGGAAAAAACGTTACGATAATTTAAATGTGTTTATAACGATTTCTCACCCCAATTGCTTTCACTGAATGCCGTTTTTGTCCGCTGTTAGACGAGAATGCTCACGTTTAGAGAAGCATTGATTTAGATTTTCACTTTTAAAATTCTTCTATGCCTTTATGCATTTGTGTGTTCAGATCTGTTGGAATTTTCAGAAAGAATCGTTGAACATTGAAAAGGATACACTGATACAGAGTACAAAATATCAACGATTACAAGAGTATGTGAGTGAATAAGCGACTTTGCAATTGCTTCTTCTTTTTTTGCTCTTTCATCTCGTCTTTCTGAATTCGTTTATTCTTGTAATTTCTAATTTCTTCTATTTGAAATTTCATTTTTTTAAATCTAGAAGAACGTTTCGATTTATGGAAAGAATGAATGAAGAATCGAGCTTCTAAGTACCCAGCGTTATTATTTTCATTGCTATTATTACTACTATTCTAAGCATTGTTATGATTATGCAATGTTACTTTTACTGTTATGAGTCGTTTTAATTCATGAATTCAATTCAGAAGCAAACAATTGAAACAATTCGCAAAGAATACGAATCTGAGAAGATAGCACGTCAGCAACAAGAAGAAACACTTTCAATCACAACGAAACGTTTAGAAGTGAGTTAATGTTGTATTCTTTCAATAATTTTGACCGTCGATTTGGCCATTCGGCCATTTCTTCATCGTTTCATTGCACGGCCGTATTTCGTACGAGATTTTACATAGGAGTCAAGCCGTGAAAATGATGTACAATGTTTTGGAGGCGAAATCACTTATTGCGCTACAAATGAGATGGATTCAAATTATATTCATGTCAAACAGATCTGATGTCTGCATTATTATTATTATTATCGTTATTGTAATTGATTGTAATCGTTTTGTTGTATCAATTTTAGGCAGTACAAACAGTGATGAGTGAATTACGCTCAATGCTTGAGCAGTCACAAAAGCAATTGGCACTCGAAACAGAACAAAAATTATCGATAAAAAATGAACACGAAAAATTATTACAGCAAATGGATGTGTGTCATTGTTTATCTTTATTTATTTATTTGATCGATGCACATTTCCTAAGAGAGGAGCATCTTCAAGAACACACCACGAATTAGTATCATAAAAAGCAACCGCTTTACTCATCCACGTTCGCTCAACTATTCTGATCTTGTCTTGCTGGATCGCGATCTCTTTTTCCAGTTGGAGGGTGCGGTGCCACTCTGTGCATCTGTTTGTCCAATTGTTGTCATTCATCAGTGCCAACCAATTTCCTTGTCCATTCAGTTTGCGTATTTAAGGCTGATGGTAAGCATCGTGAAGCCGTAGAATCAATCTACAAAAAAGTCACGGATGAATTAACAAGTTTGAGGTATCTGTTCCAGTTTTTATTGCACTACTCTTGTTATTATCGTTCTTGAACAGATACAATTAACTGATGAACAGATACAATTAACTGATGAACAGATACAATCATCAGTTAATTGTATATAAGTCGATGTAAATGTAAAAATGTTGCAACCGCCGTTTTGCGCAGTGCTAATGAAAATGATAGTGAAATAACGATACTAGTTACTGGGACGATAAGAATAATAAAAAGGGTATAATTATAAGAGTAGACGGTGGTACATGTGAGACAGCAGCTTCAGTAGCAGTACAATAACGTTACGCTTGTGATAACTAAATTGTTAAACCAAGCAGTCATATTGATCTGTTTGATCAATGTTATATTGATGCATCTTTATTACTGGTATTAATGTTTTTCTTGCAAGAGAAGAGAACGAATCGGTGAAAGTTGAGTTGGCGATGGCACTGAGTGAGAATCGTGAATTGCGTGATCAGCTGAGTATCGAAAGGGAATGGCATGAAAATGCAGCAAATGAGTTGAGTGCTCTCAGGGATATTAAATCACAAGTTGCTCGGTTCGTATTCATTATTGCTTTTTGAATGCTCATAATAGTTAATGGATACATAAGTCTTATTTTGAACCGAAACCTAATGCACCGGAATCGTGAAACAGCATTGCGTACATATTGTGATCATCAGTTAAGCCTTACATCCATATATGAATAATTGCAAACAAATAAGGTTTTGATTTTAATGACCACACCTTCAGTCTTTGGTTGAGTTGTAACTAATGTTTTATGAACAATCAAAAAAGTAAAGTGATGAATAAAATTTGTAAAAAAAAGAATAAAGAGTTGCAGAAGTCAGCAAGAAGCGGAAGAATCACGACGTGAAGCGTTAGAAGCAACAGAAGAAAGGGAACAAGCCGAACAGGAGGCGTCTGAATGCCGTAAACAAACTGAACGTATGCTGTCGATCACTGAGCAACTGACCGATAAAAATTCATCACTTTCCTCCGAATGTGATTCACTTAGGGCTAAGGTATTTATTGGTTTATTCATTTATTCGTTTATGTCTATTTGTTGTTGTTCATTCGTTAATTTCATTTGAATTTGATTCATCGTTCGCTTATAGAATCTGGCTATAAATACGAAGTTCATCGAATTGGAAGCAGATTTGAGGCGTACAAAAGAGGCTTTTGATGAGACACAAAAACAGTTGGATTACATTAAAGTGACAAGTACGGCTGAAATTGCATCACTCAGAGAGGATTTGAATTCAAAAATCGCTAAAGGTAACAGCTGATTCATTGTTTTTGTCATTATTGTAACCATTCTCTTTCACAGTTTCACTTCTCATTTGCCAGCCATTCCATGAATCCATTACTTTTCTCAGTCCTACTCGTTCGTTGTTGATTGCATTCGAATTGCTATCTTTTTATGGAGTATCTTCGTATTTCTTGTTTCTTTAGCGATTTGCAAAATACTGCAGTGGTCCAGTAACAAAGTCTCTTCGATAAACTCAGAAAAATGTGTTTCAGTTCAAGAATTATCGCGACTGTTAGACGAAGTGAGCAACGAAAAGGAAATTCTGAAGAAGAAACATGCCTCAAATATAAAAGTATGTGGTGATTTTCAGACACTGAGATTGATTGATTGCTTGATGTTTTTATTATTATTATCGAAAACAAAATGTGTCAAGATGGGGTATTACCAGAACATTTGTTTTGCTTGAATGTCTACTGTAATGTTTATGTATGATGATGATACAATGTATCGTGTGAATTTTCAAGGAGCTACGAGCCGAGCTGATGATTTTCCGAAGAGCACAGCAACAACATCAAACGACCACTTCAGCAACCACAAATCATTGCGATACACCTCATGAAAATCACGAACTAACTGCATATTTGCCAATTACAAACGGTTACTTTTTGATTAGCTTTCTAACGTGACTGTTTGCCACTGTTATTGTGTTGGTATTTCAAAGGTTTGATGGTCATATCACGACGAAAAATCATTGTACCTACTTTATTTTGTTGGATATATCCACTTCATTTCATTCTGATCAGTCAATTTTGAGGTTCCCTTGACGGTGACTCGATGAACCGAAGCGTTACATAATTCATTAATTTATGCAGCATCCAGCCATCAGTAATTGTCCTAAGACGTGCATATAGCGCTTAAAATTGAATGGAATATTTCTGTCAAATAGAATTGTTATTAGTGCGAGTATTGCTAAATAATATGATATTGATTTTATAAGCGTTTACTGTATTAAGCGCATGATACCAGATATGACATTGTTCACGATAGCCACACGCAATAATTGTCTATTTGTTCATTTAAAAAATCATTAGCGTTTCGGTGTTCGACATGATCAACACCAGTTACATCATACCACTGCTGATTAAAGCGTATATTGTTGATCTAGGCATGCCTCCTACATGGGTGGTAATAAGAAAGCATTAAGGTGGTTGTTCGTCCTCTTCACGAGCCTCATCAATATGTTCGATGGAAACAAGCACACGTAATACATTGAACGCACCATCGCCGGTGGATGAAGCGAGTAATATGAATATAAATGCATCACTACCTTCATCATCGTCAATCAATTCAATGCAACAACAAATGATTGAAAAAATTGTGAAACTCCAACGGCAACTGGCAAGGAAACAAGATAAGGTGGAATTCTTGGAGGAACACGTTAGGCAATGCACTGAAGAGTTGCGAAAGAAGACTAAGTTTGTTCATGCATGTATTTATTTGTTTTGTTTTCCTGCTTGTTCATTGAATTTCATAGCTGTGTTTCACCTAATGAATCTGTCGAGTTATTTACATGATAATTTTTCTAGAATAATTCAAAATTATGCTCTTCGCGAAGAAGCTTCTCTACTGCTGCCAGAAAGTGATTCATTGACGCAGGTGAATTCTGTTTTTGAAAGTTTTAAATCAGTCAGTACAATTTTGTGAATGATTATAATGCAAACTAATAATCATATATACCGTTTAATTTTCAAATATCAACTGAAAGCCAACGATTTGAACATTATCATTTCTCATTCTTTCGTGTATTTTCATCCAATTGCATATTGTTTATTTGTTAACGTTTTGTTCACTTGTCCATTTCAGTTCCATAGTCATCTGTCATGTAGGTTACAATTAGATGTTGAAATGTTTTTTCCTGTATACTTAATAATGATATAAATAACTAAAAACATAAAAATATTTATAATAGCTACGACGTTGATATTATTCATAATAATAATATCATTAATGTTGCTTTTTTTTCTCTCAGCTGTTCGCATTATGTGAGGTTGTCGAGGTTAGTTCATTGAAGACACGCTGTTATGCTTTCTGGTGTTTTTGCTTTGCTTGCTTGTTGTATATATGTGCCGGTATCATTATTATTATTATTATTATTATTATTATTATTATTATTATTATTATTATTATTATTATTATTA